GAATTCTCCATGAGTGCTGTGACCTCTGACTTCTCAGGCACCTACAGGTGCTATGTTTCTGCAGGCTCATCTGTCTACCTGTTGTCATATGCCAGTTCCCCTGTGGAGCTCACTGTCTCAGGTGAAGTGACCCTGAACTGTCAGGGTGATTTAAGATCCAAACCCTAGGAGGTCCCTTGTCTTGAGCGAGATTAAGAGGACAATGGGAAAGAAGGCATTCCCCTGCCAGAGAAGTGGATGCCAGCAGCAGTCCTTCAAGTAATATCCCCTCCATCCTCTATTGAAATCTAGGTTTGGAGTAAACAGCATGAAGCTATTGGGGAGATTACAGAGCTGATGCAGTACAGTAAGCACAGTCAAGATCCCTGGGTTAGCATCTAACCATCACTCTCCTCTCACTCTGTTTCATAGGACTCATTGGAGCCTCTAGCCCACCACCCTCAAGGCCCATGAGAACAGTTGGTGAGTGTCAGGCTCGTCAGTGCAGGGAGTATGCTCCATCCCCAGGCTGTCTCACTGCTCTTACTTTACTGAAGTCCTCATTTCTCTGTCACTTCAGCTTGTGAGGCAAGGAGGGAGACAGATACCAATACAGACCCCAGAAACCTAGGCCTTAGTCTTTGAGGTACAGAATGTACTGAATGTGGTGTTGAGAGATAGATTTTCTGACTCAGTCTGGTGGATGGAACAGGTGGGTGAGGTAGAGAGGAGGAATCCCAAACATTCACCTCTCCATCTTGTCTCTAAGGTCCTGAGAACAATCCTCTCACCTTCATGAATCAGGCCCCAGAAGGCCAATAAACACTCTATTGGAATGTGGGGTCCTGATGGAAATAGCTTGTTATGGGCTTGATACATGTACTTGCTGAGATGTTAACTTGGACAAGCCCTTTCCATTCTGTGCTGGCTGCTGTTTCTTTGAATATAAAGGGGGAGAGGCCTGCCCCACATTTGTAAGTTTTTTTTCAGTTCTGGCCTTGGATGGCAGCCATATTAATAAAGGAGGCTTCTAGAACCTGATTCTGTTGTTGGTCTGTCCCACAGTCGTGGTGACATGTGCAAGGGTAGGACAAAGGGCCATGGCAGGGCACTCAGGCTCCTTCCTTCCAGCTCATGGGGCCCAGCTTATGTGAAGAGAAGAGCTGAAAGTCAGAGTCCCTGGGTTCAACTTCCAGATCTGTCACTTCCAGTCAGGTGCTCTGAGGCAGGTGAACTGTGTGGAGAGAAAAAGAAACAATTCCTTGATGCGTGATTGTGAGGATGGGAGATGATGAGTGCCCAGACCCAGCATGGGCCTGGCACACAGTACACAGTCCCCACTCATGATGTCACTTGTGCCTCAGGACTGGCTCTCATTAGAGTGTCTGTGGCCTCCATCCTGATCCTCATCATCCTCATCTGCCTCCTTCTCAGACGAAAGTATCAGAGAAAATTCAGGAAGGAAGGTAAGAACGATCTGGGTGGCCTGGGTCACATGTGGTGATAGATCCCCCTGTGAACATCCAAGCAGGGGATCAGGACATCAACCCCAGGGAAACCTCAAACTGTGGCTGGAACATTTAGAAACACTTGCAGATCTCAGATATGAAAGAACATGATATCAGAACCTGTGCAACGTCAGGCATTCTGTGAGCTTCACCATTTCCTGTTACATTGGCTCACTCACCCATGTTATAAAGGTCCCTTCCTTCCTTCCCTGTACGTGCCTGGGGGAAGAGGCTTCCTCCTCTCCTAGATGAGACTCTGCTCTCTCTTGCAGCCAATGAAGAGACAGAATTGCAGCTTCCTGCAAGAACTGCAGCATCAACAACCAGGGAGAGGGGCCCCCAGAAGAGGTAACTCATGGCCAGAGACCTAGAGCCCCACCTCCTAGATACACCTCACTGCCAACTGACATCCCCTTGTCTTTCCAGATCCAACCCAGCTGCTGCCACCCAGGAAGAAAGCCTCTGTGAGAGAAAGAGGGTCCTGGGGAGGGAGATGTCTGAGGTCTCAGCCCTACAGGGGTGGTGCACAGGCTTTGGGGTCTTTTCTGTTTGTGTATGAACTTCACACTACAGACCCAGGTGTATCTAAGCCCTGGTTCTTTGTCCCTACCTGGGTAAGGCAGGAAACTAGGGGCCCTAGACTCTGGTTGGGAGACATTTTGTTTTTTTCTGCCATGACAGATGCTTCAGTGGAGGACGTGAAACCTGAGAATGGTGATGAACTGGACAGTTCGGTGAGGTCCCTGACTCCATCTGCAGTGCTAAGAACATAGGGCCCAGTTTAGTCCAGGGGCCATCTTTGTTCTCCCTCTCTTGGCCCTCAACAACATCCAGAGCTGACTATTCTCTTCTGCAATCACCCACCTCCTGTGTGCTGTGGCCTCACCCTCTCCTGGTTTTCCCAGCTTCATGGGTCTCATTGCTATTTTCTGCTTTCTGTCTCCTTGGCATCTGTCTGGTTGTCTTCTGAGTGGACATCCAGAGAGAAACATCCAAAGATACATCTAACAACTACAGGCAGGAACCAAAAGAGCTTGGGCAGAAACATGTGGGTGTTTGGCTGTGTGTGTGTGTGTGTGTGTGTTTTTTACAAACATTAATGTCTCTGCATCACATACCTTCATGGTGCTTCCAGAGGCCAGAAGAGAGTGTGAGATACCCTGGAACTAGAGTTACAGATGAATGTAGGTCGCCATGTGGTTTCTGGGAACCAAACCTGGATCCTCTGTAATATAGTCAGTGCTCATAATCACAAATACATCTACAGTCCCCCAGCCAAGACAGCAAGCGTTAGAGTGTCAGGATAAGAAACCAGAACTGTAGGAAGTCCCAGAATATTCCATCAGGGATGCTATCATCTAAATGGGTCACTCTGGCCATGATGTGGAAAACTGACCAGAGGAGAGCCCTAGGGGAACAAGGTGACACTATCTGTACCTCACTACTTCCCTGCTACAGAGACCACCTGAGGAAGACCCTCAGGGAGAGACATACGCTCAGGTGAAACCCTCCATGCACAGGAGGGCAGAAGCTGGCCTACCTTCTGTCCTGTCAAGAGAAGTCCTGGAAACAAAAGATGGAAACAAAACAGAAAAGGGCAGAGAGATGGACACTCAGGTTGGTTCTGTTCTCTCCAGGCCTTCAGCATCCCCAGGCCTTCAGCATCCCCAGGCCTTCAGCATTCCCAGGCCTTAGCATCCCCCAGGCCTTCAGCATCCTCCCCAGGCCTTCAGCATCCCCAGACCTTCAGCATCCCCCAGGCCTTCAGCATCCTCCCCAGGCCTTCAGCATCCCCAGGCCTTCAGCATTCCCAGGCCTTCAGCATCCCCCAGGCCTTCAGTATCTCCCAGGCCTTCAGCATCCCCCAGGCCTTCAGTATCTCCCAGGCCTTCAGCATC